TAAATAAAATCTCGTAGGTGGATATCTTCAAATCTGGCGGTTGTAATCCACAAGGCTTGTATCCAACCTCGTTGATCCTAGTCCATCACTCTCAGTGATCTCAAAATTGGTCTCAAATCGTGTTTTGGAATCAAATTCAGTTCGAAAGGACTTCCAAGTGACTGAAATGCTTGGGCATCTCATCAGCACGGCCGCAGTAGACCACGAAGCCGCCTCTTCAGGCCGAGGCTTAAAGTTTGCCAGAGGCTTTCAGAAGAAAGCCATAGGTTCATGGAAAAGCCGGTCGATTGAAACGCAAGACATAAGCACAACCGACAGTCTTGGTCCAAAAAGCACAACAAAGCTTCCCATTTCGGGTCTTCGTCTCACACACCCTCAGGCATCTCACACATCTCACACCTGACAACGGTACTAGGAGCAACGACGCTACGAACGGCTCCTGGCCATACTAGGAGCAATCTCAGATCGTCACCTGGAGCCATGACCAAAACGTCTTCCAAGCATCGCCACATCGAACTCCGCGGCTGATGCAGCGAGCACAGCGCGACGCAGCTCCTGACGCCGCACCACGGCCGAGCATCGAAAAGACGAATTCGGCACGAACCCACGAACATGCAGGCCCGAAGTCGGAAAACACCTGTAAAAAGGCCCATATGGACAAGCGAAGCAAAAAACCGCCACCCTGGCCTCCAAGTCATTTTGCGCGTTTAAGCATGAAATGTGACTTGGTTCGGCCTCTCAATTCCCCCAAACATGTTCTCTCAATAAGCTACTAGTAACAAGTGCATCGTTTCTAGTAACAAGTGCCTTACTAGTAGTAACAAGATGTAACAAGAAGCTATTTGAAACAATAAGCTATTAGACCCAAGGACCCAAGGACCCGGAACCTCGACCATCCTCAACATGTCGCTGTTGGATCTCCTCGTGACTGCCAGCTCCTTCAGTAGCTCTGCTACCCGCTGTGCCTGCAAACCGTCGTTTTACGAAAGGGGCAAAGCGGTCTGGACGGGCAAGCGGTTCAGCCGCAGCTGATGCGACAGCACATGCGAAAACGGTCCAAGAGGCTCCACAACAAGCGAACATTGCTCCTAGTAGAAAGACCAGGAGCCCCTAGTAGCGTCCTTGCTCCTAGTAGCGATGCCAGGAGCCCCTTAGTAGCTTCTTGTTACTAGAATCCGAAAACAATATTTGTGTGGGTCAATTTCACGTGCTACCCGATTCTTCTCGACCCTCTAAGTAGCTGACAATGAAGACACATACAAATGCACAAGAGCCATCCAACCAGCCTCACAGTGGAAGAAGGAAATGATTCAACTTCCATAGTCACAACATTCTTTCAAAAGGCTTTCGCACAACAAGAGCCTTTTTTGGTGGGCCAAAGGCGTAACCTTGAGTCCAACACACCACGGCCACAGGTGCAGCCTGAAAAGCGTCTAACCCTGTGGTGGGCTCATCTGCCAGCAAAGCACGAGGGCAACGGCCAACGCCCTGATCTTCGCCTTCCGTGCGCGGTCTGGGAGCCAGTCCAGTCTATCCTTGCAAAGCTCCATAACCAAGAGGCTTCCCTCTTGCAAAGGCGAGTCTACCGGGCATCTGATCTACATGGTCCTTCACAACACGTCAGCTCAGGCCTGCAATGGCACAGGCCACGGCCAAGCGCCGCTGCTCTCCTTTGGTGGTGTGGTCCACTCGCCTCCCATGGGCACAAGAAGTCCAAACACTACTTTAGATGAAATTGGAAGCCAAATGGACTCCAAGCTAAATGGCAAAGGGAACCTAAGAGTGATGGCCGCTCCAACCTAAAAGCAATGGCCTCCAGGGCCGCCCCTTCGTTGGGCCGTTGCTTCGCTTCACCCAGCCTGGTAGCAGCTGCGGCCAGGCCCACACGTTGGAGGAGGCCTTCAGCCTCCACTCGCGATGTCTTCATATCGGCGACGCATCTGGCACTAATCTGTTCGACCTTTGGTCGATCTTTTCATTGGAGTAACAAGTGCATCGCTTCTAGTAACAAGTGCCTTACTAGTAGTAACAAGGACGCTACTAAGGGCTCCTGGCCTTACTAGTAGTAACAAGAACGCTACTAGGAGCAAAGGGCATCGCTACTACGAACAAGAACGCTACTAGGGGCTCTTTCAAAAAGTACGAACGCTTTCACTTTTTTTTTTTTTAAAAAAAACCTTTTTTCACCTTTTTTCACCTTTCATTCTCAGCTTCATGGGTTCAGCCCCGGGAGAAAGAAGGTGTGCTTTGGATATGTTCAGTTTTTTTGATCTAAATCTAAGGATATGGGAGTTGATTCCAACCCTGGAGATTTTCTCTCCCAACCCCCAGATTCCAACCTACTAGCTTCTGCTACTAGCAGTATTGGCCTCCAACCTACTAGCGATGGCCTCCAACCAAGAGCGAGACGTGACCATAGAATCCTTCACATTCCTTCCAGGCCTTGCCTCGTGCTGGGCTGCCATCAAACTCCGTCCAGCCAGTTGGGAGGCGAAGCAAAGGGTCTCGTAGACTGTGAGCTCAAGGAAGAAGGGGTCGTCCTGATGCGCACTTGTGTTCTGAAGATCGATGTTCTGAAGGAAGTGATCAGCCCAGTTTCCCAAAAAATCTAGGAACCAAATCATCAGTGTGAGCTATCCTGCGCCCAGTTACTAGAAGCTAACCTTGCCTATTAGTAGCCTACCTCTTTGCTTAATGAAGTAAGCGCCTACTTAATTAAATAAGGAGGGGGGCAGCTGGCAAAGAAAACATGTTTGACGCAATCCGTTAAGTCTATCACAGTTGGTGAGATTTCAGTCCTGCGCTAGCAATGCCACTGTGCCTCAGACGTGCTGAATATGTGGGGCATGTAGCTCTGACATGCTGCCACTACTGGGCCTCTACCCGGCCGATGTGTCTATGAGCAAGAGGTATTTTTCAACACTTCTAGATACTTCTAGATGCTGCTAATAGCGGCCTCCAACCTAGCTAGATACTCAGTCGTTACGTCTGGTGTCGCTCGTCGGCCGACGCCTTCGGCCACACCCACGCGGGAAGCACTCCACACGTGGCCCGACACCGTGAAGCGCCGGGGCAAAGTGCCGCTCAGCGCGCTCAGCAACGTGGACTTTCCTGCGTGCGGCGTGGGCGTAGTCAAACCTTAAGTCCTTGGGGGATGAAGTCTGAAAGGCATGGTGTGGTTCTTGGGCCGACTTGTTGAACTTGTCTTCTTCCGTTCAAGTGCGTCCGATCGCTCCTAGTAAGGCCAGGAGCCCCAATTGGTAGCGTCCTTGCTCCTAGTAGTAAGGCCAGGAGCCCCTAGTAGCGTCCTTGCCTCTGGTAGCGTCCTTTGTTTTTCAGCCTTTGGATTCGCCTTTTTCTCGTTTCGTCCTGCCCCTGATGGCCCAAGGATGCCCATCAGCCGTCCAGCGCGGGCAATCCTGCAGCTTGGCAAAGCGAGCAAACACACAAGCCAAATTCTTTCTTTTTGCAGATGGATCTTCTTCTTTCTATATCCTCTTTTCTTACGTCTCAAATTTTTGTACCTTCAAGTATCAGTTCTTCCATGAATCTCAAGGTTAGCCAACACCAGCCACTTCCGACTCAAGTCTGCCAAGCATCCCATTGCAATCATTCAGGAGCTGCTTGCCAGAGACACTGACGGCAAGGTCTCCTTGGTGAATCTTTGCCAAGGACTCTAGAGAAACGAGTCTTGTTGGGAATGTGCAGCACCGGGAAGGCATAAATAGTTCCAGTTGTGAGTTGTGGAAGCCAAACGAGACCTGCCATGACCTGCCCATGAAAGGGTCAATGACCTCGATAGCGATGAGTGCCACTCTTGATGAGATGTTGCTTTTCATCCGGAAACTGCCAGTGGACGGCAACGTGCCACATTGTGGAGAAGAACTAGGATGAAGTTGAAGGAATTTCTCTTAAAGCCTATGGTGGCCGCGGAACCCAGCTAGCCCAGGTCTAGCCGAAACTACATAGCTCTAGAAGAAGGTCTTTCCAGAAAAGCCCCTGGTAGAAACTAGAAGATTTGCTTGGATGCAAACTAATTATAGGAAGGAAAAGAGATGAAACGAGGAAAGAACAACAGGTCCAAAGGTGTCTAAAGGCCTAAAGAAAGTTGGTTGGAGGCCATTGCTATTAGGTTGGAAGCCATCGCTAGTAGGTTGAAGAAAGAAGAAAGAGACTGGTTTAGAACCTCCAACATCCACCTTCCAGGCCCAGCTTCTCCAGCACAGGTCGTTCGAAGAGACGTCGTCCATGGCGGCCGACAACCCCACCCAACTTGGGGGCACCAAGCTGTGGTTTTTCTATGGGAACTCAAGAAGGAAGGCTTGAAGGAAGCCCTTACTGGCGTCCTTTGTTTGCCCCTAGATCAATAAGGAAGGCTTGAAGAAAGTTATACTTTTTAAAACATGTCTTTTCACGGGGGGGTAGGTTGTAGGACGTACAGTAGTAACTTAAATAGCTAAGCAAGTAAGGGGTAAGAAGCTACTGGTAGCTTGATTAGTAACAAGAAGCTAGTAGTAACAAGTCTTAAAGGTCCAAATTTTCCTGAGGGTTTTGGAGGACACTTCAGGAAGGTCCGTATTGTGTATGTTTTGTCCTTTTTTGCATCTTTCCTTTAATCAGACCTAAGCAGTGAGGCACCTGTTTGGATCATGCGAAAGTGGATGAATTGACCAGGCCAGGTTTGGAGTGGTTGCATGTGGAATGGAGTCCTTGGCAAATTTGCCGAAGGCGGTGGTCTGCGCAAAAGAACCATGGCACACTATGTAAACAAGTTCTCTTACAGTGGCAAGGTTGCTAACGTTCTCCTCACCGAATTTCTGAATGCCCTTGCAATCATATGCGAATCACATGCGAAAACCATCCTGAATCTCCTCTTTGAGCCATGGCTGTGTCCGTGTTGACCGTCTTTTTCTTTTTCCACCACTTTTTGCCTTTTGGATCCTTTTGGTCTTTCCGGTCCCTCCCAATCCGCCCAAGGACGCACCAAAAGAGTCCCGGGCTCTGCGGAAGGCGGTCTCCTTGGCGAAGTCCTCGCAACGTGGACTGAAGCGGTTGAAACAAAACAGGCTGGTTAGAAAACCATTTAAGAGAAGGACAAAAAGGAACGGATGTCACTTTGCAGATTGTCTTAACATTTCTTTTACCCAGGTAGCCTGGTTTTGACCCACACCCATTTCCCTCACCCGCGTCTGAGAAATTCTATACAATAGACACCGTTTGTGCCCACCAACTGTCTCCATGCCATGGGCCTGTCTGTTGACCCGGGCAGTGAATTGGGTGTTTACGACGGCAACGGGAAGTCGAGAGAAGTTGGAAGGAATCATCGCAGTGTTTGAACGACTCATCATGGAGTAAACTGGTTGGTTTGCTCCTAGTAGCGTCCTTGTTCCTAGTAGTATGGCCAGGAGCCCCTAGAAGCGATGCCAGGAGCCCCTAGTAGCTTCTTTGCTCCTAGTAGCGATGCCCTTTGCTCCTGGTCTGGTGTGTGTGGGTTGGTTGAACAATCCATTTTGGCCGATCCCAACCTGCAGTTGCTTCAGTTCCTCCGCATCCAAGGCCTCAGCACTGGTGTCGACGGCCGCGAGAAGAACCATAGGTGTGAGCAATAGCCCCTTTATGGCACATGTTATGGCACATGAAAGCTTGTTGGTGCCACAGTTTCCTTGTATGAAGTGCTTGGATCAAAACTAAAGCGCTGACTTCGCCCTGCTTCGGCCTGCTGACCTTCCGAATGAGCCAAGGATCTTTGAGCTCTCCAGCATCAACGGAGAACCTCAGCAGTGAGCGATGAAGCGAGTTGGACTGGCAAAAGAGTCAAAGAGAGCCTAGCTCGTGCAAGGAACACAGCCAAAACATAACCAACATGACCAGAAAGGCGAACATGTTCACGAGTTCTCCTGGGTGTCTCTCCCAAAAGCAAGCCAAGTGGTTTCAGCTGATCTGGCGCTCCAGCCACTGGTGCTGTAGGCATTGAATCATCGCCGGCCTCATGCGTTGCCAAACCCAATAGCGATGGCCTCCAACTTACTAGCGACGGCCTTGTGTGTAAGCTGTGGAGCCGTGGCGCCAGTTCCAAAGCAGCTCTGGCCAACAAGTACCCCATGAAATTAGCAGGACAGCGGTGGCGAAAGGACTTTCGAACGACTTGGATTTGGCCTCTGCTTGTCGGAGTAGGTGAGCATCTCTTGGCCTCAGGAATTTTCGACGTTGAGGGAGTTCTGGATATTCAGATTGATCATCAAAGGTGTGAAAGAGTAACCTTTCTCTCTCTCCATTCCTCCCTCCTTCCCCCTCGCTCGCTCTCTCTTGCTTTTTGCACGAAAATCGGGCAAAAAACTCTTGCACCGGTTGAGCGGCCCACTGAGCTTTCGACTCAGATTGGAGGTCTTCACCTGACCAAGCGAACTGAGCTCAACAAGCGAACTGCGCAAACTGAGCTCAACACCTTGGAGTTCAACATGATTCTTGAGCCGTGAGCGGCTCAACCCACCTGTGCGGCACATGTCTGGCTGAGACTTCATCTTTTTTGCTTCGACTTCGTCCCGGCGTACGCCCGGTACGGCCCCCTTGGGCCGCCCGACGGCGAACGAGTCGTCCTCGATCTCTTTGAGACGGACGGCCGCGTGCGACGGTTTCGCTCAGGACGATCTCACGACCAATCCCACAGTCAGTTCTAGCAGTCTCATCAGTCTGTATCTCGAGTTGGACAGTTGGACCCTTGACCTGTGAGAATTGTGAGAATCGTCCAACTTCAAAGCCTCAAGGCTTGAAACCATCGAGAGTCATTGGACATCACTGGTGAGGCCGTCCTGCAATCCAACCTCACCGGTGTGTGCTAATCACTTTGCATTTGCCAAGTTGACTTGGAATCATCCCACATCATCTGCTGGTTTGCCTTTCTGTGCTGTTGCGGCGTGCGGATCGCTCTCAGGTGGGATCGCTCACGGCACGGCCTCGCCAGGGGCCGCGGAGGAGTTGCAAGGTGGACCGGAAGCCCTGCCGCTCGGGAGCGCCCTCGGTGCGCCGCTCCTGGGTTCGTCCTCAGCCGTGAGCCCAGTGAGCCGGTGACTGGGTCACAGCGGGGATGGACCCCGGAGTCCACTGGAGCAATGGTGGGCTTTGGGCAGGAAAAGGTTGGAATAGCCTCTAAGCTACTTGCAATGGCCGACCACCCTAGGGTGGTCTCCACCCTGGAAAGTGAAGGAAGCGAAGGAGTTGAAGGAGACTTTAGGGATCAAAATATCTCTCCCGGTCTAAGCCAAGCTTCGCATCATTTGCAATGGGTTTCGATCGATCTTCTTGAAGAGCGCCTTCATCTTCCCCCGGTGGCGTTGACGCATTTCCTTGCAAGACTGAAGACATGACATGAGATGTGCCGGCCTAGAAAGTTCCTCTTCCAATAGTTTGGAAGGAGGTTGGAGTGGCCATCGCTATTAGGTTGGAGGCCATCGCTATTAGGTTGGAGGGTTAAGTTCGACACACGAGGCGCCCAACATCTTCAGGCGTTTCCACCCGAGTGTCACTCTCCTCTTTGGCGTCGATCTTCGCAGCTTTTCGATGTCCTTCGCGCTGTCCTTCGCTCCTTTCCGGTCCGAAGGCGGGCAACGGATCCGTCTTCAAGAGCACCTCCGGCTTCCGCGGGGAGCTGCAGCTGAGGGCAATGCCGCTCGGAACGAGACTCGCGGCGACCGAGACGTCGGTGTCGTCCATGAGCGTCAGGGCCAAAAGCCCTGAGGATGAGGTTTTCAAACGCCTTTCATCTGAGCCAAAGGATTCAAAGGATTCATGTGGTGAGCAGCTTGGTTCTTGACATGGATGACAACTAGAAACATGAGCCATAGTGACAATGCAGGCACATTCCCGTGTTGGCTTGGATCATACCGGATCTTCCAATCTGCAAGGCTGGGTGTTTTTCTGGGTGGGGCAGGAATCCTTTGAAAGGTGAGGATGCACAAGGCTCTGAAACATCCGCAAACTACTTTTGAGTTCCAACATGTCCTGCCGGCAAGTCTTGTTCCACACCAACGGCAAGACTCTCTCAAGTCAGCGTCATAGAGCGTCACCTCATTCCACCGAACCATCCAATATATCATTACTATATCTCCATCTTCAGCCTATCTCCATCTCTCCAGTCTCTCCACCTCCGTCCTAGGTTGGAGGCTGCTAGTCGGTTGGAGGGTGAGTCCCAACAATTTGTGCTCTCTCCGTCCTCGACCCAAATCGAGCCTTCGTCCAGTCGGGCCCAAACCGGTGAAGTGTCTGCCAGTCTTTGGCCACCATACTCCTGGCGGTCGAAGTTGGATCTGCCTGTTGAACATACAACAAGTGCATCGCTACTAGTAACAAATCCTTTTGTATCCTTCCTGGTAAGCATGAGCACTTGCCCCTCCCATACTTTCTAGATACATCAATGTGCTTTCGATGCACAGGGGTGGATACCATTGGTCCGGTCTCTCCCATCTCTCCCCCATCTCAGGCGGCACTCAGAAAACGGCGGCAGGGCGGAATGGCCCTTGTCCTCACGGCAAACGGAATGCTTCCAGTGAGCATTTCAAACAGGATGCAGCCTGCGGAAAACGTCCGGGCATCGCGGACGGCTGGAGCGATCGGACGCCTCCTCCCTTTCTAGAGCGCAACATGGAGAATGGAACGTTGTCGTTGCACTCACTGTCACTCGAAGCGAACAACTCGCTACAGAATAGCCACGCATTCCAGATCTTTTCTTTCCTTTTCTTTGTGCGATGCTTTCTTCCTTTAGACCGTTCGAGACCATTCTTTC